CACTGCTCAAAATTACGGCCATCGTGTTCAAATGTGTTAACAGTTTAGTTTCAAAATATCTGCAAAAATATCTGCAAGGAAAGATCGTCTCCAGAAATGCACCGAGGAATCGAACCAGATTACGTTCCGACAATTTGGATCTACGTGTACTTCATTTTGCCAATCTTTCGTTTGGCTTTCGCAGGTTCAACAGTTCAGAACAGCCTGCCGAAAGATTCGTTTGAATCCTGCTTTATTTTCAGTTTCGAAAAAGCTTAAAAACTCACACTCATTCTGAAAATCGATGAATAGAGTGACAGGCGATTTGAGAGACTTTTGAAAAACGCCCAACATACACTCATAATAATGATGATAATATAAACACAATATAGTTATATATATGTAATATATAAATATATATATATATATAATAAACAATTATGCTGTATATTCATATATACTAATTATAAATTTATAAATAAAATATATACACATAAGTCTGTTGATATTTATTTTCTATATGAATTAGTATAGATGTTTATTTGCGTGTTTCGGTATAATTTAAAGTGTATCTGAAAAGTTGCGACTGAGTCATTCTTCCTCATTAACAATGGGACGTACTTTCAATCGTTCTTCCCTCGTTGTCATTGTTAGTCTTACTAACATAATCATCCTTATCGTCATCTTCATAATAATCCCATTTTGACATGTATTAACATTGGAGCAACAAGCTTTACAGCTGAACATCATCACATTTGATGTCATACTAAGCAACATTATTCTACCACATATAATTTAGCCATCATTTTTTTTGTATCACCAACATCACTATCAGCGTTATTATCAGTATGAATTATATACATCATCTTCGTCGTAGTCATCATTCTTAAGATCATCATCATTATTATCGTCATCTTTTTACACAACAACATCACCAAAACCCTCTTCCTCTTCATCATCATCGTCGTCGTCGTCATCTGCATTTTTACCGTTGTCGTCAAGAAACTAGGTATAACTTGATGCATGTCAAACAAACGTTCTTCTATGTATGTATGTATGTATGTATGTATGTATGTATGTATGTATGTATGTATGTATGTATGTATGTATGTATGTATGTATGTATGTATGTATGTATGTATGTATGTATTTATTTATTTATTTATTTATTTATTTATTTATTTATTTTTGAAGGATGACCAAAAAACATAAACTTGTGGATAGGCCACCCTTAACTAAAATTTCTAACTATAGATGTAACAGAAATGTCATGAAATACATACACATAAACTCACGCTCACACATACTTACAAACACGCACCATACTACAATTCATATCACAATACTGTTATACAGAACTGAAGAGACAGAATCAATGAAATGAAATGATCTGAAAACCAAACGTACGCTCACTTACACACTCAAATAAATAGACACATAAACAAATATGGCCACACACCATACACATATAGGGCGTGGCCACATGTCTCAGGGAACAGCTGAGTGAATCTTACACATAGATATGTGCTCCTCCACATACACCCCCGCTGTACCCTGGTTAACGCTCCTAGAATACAATATTTATATACATATATACACATATCTACACATACACATGCACACACGCACACACACAGACACACGCACACACATAAACACGTACACTCACCCAAACACACACACGCACACTTACCCACACACACTCTCACGCAAGCACTCCCGCACACACACAAACACACACACACACACACGCACCTATACCCACCCTCAAACATACATACACACACACATACATATTTCGTCGAACCTGATCGAATCTCCCAGATTGTTAACGACCCGGCAGACCCAACCAAGCCGAACATAATTCATATTCCTAAAACACGCTGCTTGAATACACAGATACATACATACCTATAAAAATTCATAATGATTTAAATATGAAGTATATTTACTACAATTACACATTAAAAATATCATTTATGGAAACATATGAAAACCGTATACACATGATAAGTTGGCCAAATGATAAGAAATTCTTGTTTTCGTAAATAATAAATGTAAATAAATGTTGTTCAAGAAAAGGTGACTATGATAGATACAAACAAAAACACACCCAACACACACCTGACACACACACTCACCCACGCACACACACATACATACAAAATATGATTGCCTTTTTGATATCAAGTTAAAAAAAAAGTAATTTGCTCAATCAAAAATTTTTTGACTTTGTTTTTAAATAAATGTTTTTGACATATATTTTTAATTTCTGTGTTAATAATTTCATCCCAAATTTTTGGACCAAAAATTTTTAAGCTATTATTTATTATTTTCAATCTAGAATAACTGGGATAAAAAGTTGATGCATTCCTTAATACTTTAGTTTGGATCGAGCTTCTTAAGTTGAAAAAATGTTAAAAAAACAACGGGAGTTCACAGTGTACATATTTATACATAAAAAGAGCTAAGGTATACAAGTGGATATTTTTAACATTCAAAGTTTGTAAAATATTGTAATAATTAGAAATATGGCAGCGAGGATGAAGATTGAAAAAGAGACGAATGAAACGGTTTTGGCTAACGGAAATATGTTGCAAGTGTAAATTTGGACTGTTTCTCCACAGCAAATTACAATACGTTAGGTTTGGGTAAATAAGGGTATAATATAATTCTAATAATACACTTTTTGTTATTTTATTTTTAATTTTATATAATATACCTATTGTTTTATTTATTTTTTTGGATATAAAATTAATGTGCGAGTCCCAGGATAAGTTATCGTTGATGAAGATACCTAAAAATTTTGTTGAGCTCGATCGATGTATAGGATTACCATTGATTTGTATATTTAAGTCTGTGATACAATTGGTTAGTATTCTTAGTCAAAATACCATATATGTGCACTTTGTATAATTTATTATTAAATCATTAAAAGTAAACAAATTGGCGATGGATTGAATTTCATTGTTGATAAAATTTAAATCTCTGTTAGGTTCTTTAGTATGAAAGTATATAGTCGTGTCATCAGCAAATAATAAAAATTTAGCTGATGTAGTTATGTGGCATAAATCATTTATAAATAAGGTAAAAAGTATTGGTCCTAATATAGAGCCTTGTGGGACTCCGCAGTTAATCTGAAGCCTTTCTGATTCATAGGTTTCGATTGAGACATATTGTTTTCTTTCTCCAAGGTAAGAGGAAAACCATCTATATGCAACTCCTCTTATACCGTATGAATAGAGTTTTCTTAACAGTTTTTTCATGGTTTATTAGATCAAATTCCTTTGATAGATCTATAAAAATTCCTAATGTGAAGATCTTTTCATTCAATTTTTCCATCACTCTCTGCGAAAATTCTACTGTAGCAAGCTCCGTTGAGTGGTCTGCTCGAAATCCATACTGACTTTCATGAATAATATTTTTAAACTGTATAAAAGATTTTAATCTCTGGCACATCAAATGTTCTATAATTTTTGAAATAGGCGAGAGAAGAGAAACAGGGCGGTAGTTAGATATATCTAACCGATCTCCTTTTTTGTAAACTGGTATTACTTTAGCGGTCTTAAAAATTGAGAAGAGTAGCCCTTGAGAAAG